TCAGCAGGGGGCGGTAACGTGTTGTCGTTGTTTCCGATGAATTTGCGGGGGAAGTTCGGTGGCGCTGCCTGCGCACAAATAAAGAGTGTGAGCTCTGTGTTGTACCGTTATTACGCTACCGTAGTAATGGTCAGGACCCTGAGGTAGCTATGTAAAAAGTAATGTTAGCCTTCAGCACGCCTTCAACCGGCGTGTTGTCCCCGTTTAATAATAACTAATATATAATAACTGTTTTTATTAATTAACGTTTTTATATTTTTCTACTTTATTAGTATTCAAATAATCGATTAATTACCTCAAATCAAAGATCTTCAATGCATCGAATCGTTCCCTCAGCGACGGTAATCTAATCAAAATACTTTCAAACCCAAGGGAAGAGAGTTATCGGGAGCAGGCAAGGTGCCAACAAAAAGGAGATGCCAGTCCAGTTGTATATGTAACATCTTATTAGGCACGCTAGCATGAATGCTTAAAAGTTACGTCCTTACTGGACAATTAAGTTTTTCTGTGAATATTACACAGGTGTTTGAATCTAGTGAAAACTACCGATACCCTCATTTGGGTGTTTGTTTTTTGCTTCTTTTTCCATTTAAGTATTTAATAAGCCAGTTTGCAGGGGATGTTAAGGAAGTGTAGAATAGTGTCTCATTATGGGTGATATTGATGCTTCTTACATGTGTAACGAATAGTCAAGGTCTGTTATCGCTGTTCTGCTGCAGGATCCTGTGTCATTCTTGTGTGAATTACTGAAGTGTCGGTTTTATTGTAAGCTACAGATCTCACGTTACGTGTAAATCATTTCCTGCCTTACAAGGTGATAAGGTGTTGAAAAAAATTAGCCATATTGCCTGGCTAACCCGTTTTGTTGTTCCGTTGTCGACTCAGAATAAAGTTTTATCTGAGAAATAGCATGGATACATTTTAGAGCATTTATTTGGCCTTTGGTTTTTTTCTCGTGTTGTTGACTTATCTGTATTTCCCCCTGTAGTCATGACTTTCATTTTTTGGTTTCTCTTTGAAAGTGGATTTTCCAGGCAAATTATTTCATGCATCTCCCAAGATTGTTTTCCTCTTCAAATGTTTGCCATAGTCTATAGTTCATTGTATCTAAAAAGCTGGCCACTTGAACTGACAGCAGTCAGAAATGCGTGCTGTTTTCCACAGTCTTCCCTTATGTAGCCTGTCCCAAATTTCTCGTTGCTATTTTATATCTAGGATCTGATTTTCTAGTCGGATTAATTAAATGAAGTTTCTCAATGTTTTTCATTTTCTTCACCATTATGTTCCTCTTTTAATCTCTTTTAATTAACATCCAGTTCATGCTTCTTCATACAGTACCAGCAGTATTAGGCTGCATGAATGTAATTACATATGACCTCTGGCTCTATGTATAGCAAACCGCCACATGGGTGGCATGGCACAACGGCAGCATGGGTGGCATGGCACAACGGCAGCATGGGTGGCATGGCACAACGGCAGCATGGGTGGCATGGCACAACGGCAGCATGGGTGGGCGTGTCTGGTTGTAGGCCCACGCATTTAGCGTTCATAGTGAGTGATACACTATGATAAAACGATTGTCTGACTGGTATGTGCATGCATGGTTAGATCAGCTCAGCTCAGGTCCGGTTGGGCAGTATGCGCTGATGCAGCGCGTTGCCGCACTTACCACACGGCGAAACTCCTCAGGATCCCGGCCGGCGATCCCCCACATGGTCCAGTCCCACCCTCAAGAAATGGCCACCCATCTGCCACAGCCAGGTGTTACGTGGGCATCCCCTTGGTTAGATCAATGGAGGAAAAGTGCCGTTGAGAGGCAAACAGATTTTTCATTCTCTTTATTCACTCTTAGTAATGCTATGGATCATTTAAAAACTAATACAAAAAAGTTTCTTGTGTGATTTTGTCACCAAGTGAGTTGTTATGGGACCGGCCCCCCTGATTTTCTACTGGCTCACCCATCCTCATGATTTTTGGCTCAGTTTTTGGTGTCAAGTGTGCATGTCATCATGATGTGCCCTGTGATGCACTGGCATCCTGTCCAGGGTGCCCCCCTGCCCTGTGCCCTGTGATGCACTGGCATCCTGTCCAGGGTGCCCCCCTGCCCTGTGCCCTGTGATGCACTGGCATCCTGTCCAGGGCGCCCC